AGTTTTTTTAAAATTAAAAAAAAAGTTTGAAAATATAAGTTTTTAAGAGGGAAATTCAAATTTATAAAACATGAATAATGTTAAAAAGCTAAAACATTTGGAAGTCGAACCAAACATGTTTTAAGTAGAAATATAAGTAAAAAAATTTAAAAAAAAAAACTTGAAAAATCTTGAGATTTAGAGTGTAGTAAACTCATAAATAATAATAAAAGTCATCTAAAAATAAAAAATAATACTGAATACCAGTAAAGGACACACAACAAAAGAAGTCCAAACATCATAATATATTAAATCAAAAGGTACATTAAAACAAACAGAAAAAACCGCTAAAAGGAAGAGGAGTGTGCTTCCCTAATTGGCAAGCATGACAAGAAACGAAATTAAACACTTTATTGTTAGATGAAATAAACCTCGCTTGACGAGCTGAGTGAATGACTTTGAACTAGGATGTCCAAGATGAAAGAGCCAAATATTAGGTGAAGCCAAGGCAATAGAAAGCATAGTCAAATTGCTCAAACACGAGCTAAACACTAGATATAATCCCCGGACTACTGAAAGGAAGTAGGACGTTCTTCATTTTGATATTTTTAGTAGAAAAATCAAAAAAATTAAAGTCAACGCTATAATTACTATCGTTAGCAAATTGTCGACGATATGTTGGCACAAGAACATTATTAAGATGAAACATATGATTAGATTGTGATAAAGCTGCACGCGCGACCAGAATGAGTAACAGGAAATAAATGACCTTTACAAACTTGAATTAGTTCTGAACTGAAATAAGAAGATGAGATAAAAAGATTACCATATGTGCTAGATGGGGAGAGATAAGTTAAAGGACAAATTTGAGTTTCAATTTTTATTTTGAAAATTAATATGTATGAAGTATATAAATAAAATATTAATTAAATCTAATAGTTAGTTTTTAAAATATTTATTAAAAGATGATATTTTTAAAATTATGTCTATTTTTTTAAGAATCGAGATTAACACGTGTCATTTTCTTAAAATTTCATGTGTTTAGTCCAATTTTATATGATATAGGATTCACTTACACATATTACTTATATAAAATCTTAACAATTCACTATTTTACTATAAATAATTAAAATTTATCACAATTTTTTAAATGAAAAAACAATTTTCTTTTTAAAATATGATAGAGAATATGTTAATCTTAATTATTCATAATAGAGAGATAAATAATTAAAATTTTATATAAATAATATAAATAAAAGTTTTATATAAATGGATTTTAACGCATTTAAAATATTTTTTTTTCTAAAGTTGTGTGGAAAAGCTGAAAACAAGTAACACATTAGTTATTTTCTTTGTCTTACCACATGTCAATGCTTTATTGCATTGCATTTTGTGAAGCTAGAAGTTAGAAATTTTAGTAATTTATACATGATGCATTAAACATGAGATGAGAGTGATGAAGATATAACTTATCAGGTGCAAACGACAAATGTTATGAGAGAAAAAAAAAATAATATTATGCAGTCTATCAGCGAATGAGCATGAGCAGTGAGTAAACAAAATTTAAGATATTAAAAAAATTAATTTTTTCATTATAACTATATTCACTTAAAAAAAAAAAAAAGATCTTTGGGGACACGAAAATCATCCCATTTAGTATGAAAATTCGTTACCAAAACTATTGGGGACGGATTTCTACATCTCCACGATATTCATCTATAGTGACACCCTTAAAGGTTCTCAGATTTCTAAAACCTTTTGAGAACATTTTGTTGCTATCTATTGGATGCTCCTGTCCATTAAAAGTTTAAAAAACGTTAGTGTCCCAAAACCAGCATGGCGTCCCCAAAGATTTTTGTGATTTGGCAAGTGAGCTGATCTAGTTTTAAACTCTTGCAAATTTGGTCAGTTATAAGTTATAACATATACAAGCTACTGCAAATTTTGCATACAAAATTGGTCCAAAGCAAAGGATGTATTTTCATGTGACTAAATGAAAAATGTGATTTGAATGAATAACGAATAGAACATATTGATAAAATGAACTTGTAGTTTATTAACTTCATTTTTTATGTGAATGCAATATGACCACCGATAAAAACTATTTTTTTAAGATATTGGAGAAAATTAATTTTTTATTTGTAGCAAAGTTTCCATCTAAATAGTTTTTCTTTGAATATTCTACATAAAATTGGTTTTTGTTCAATAATCAAGACTCAAACAGAAAAATCTAAGGTTATAATTTGTTTGAAATGTGCTGGTCATGTGAGAATTTCTTTACAATGTGTTATTTGGTTTGATAATTAACCTCTCAATTTATATGCTTTTAAAATTTCAAAAGTAATGGTAGTTGAAAATGCTGAAATGATGTCAAAACCTGAAAAGTTCTTGGGTTTTAATATATAATTCTAAAAAATAATTGTGCTAATTGGGCTGCAGGCACAATGGATACAGATGTGGAGGGTCAATGGGAACTGAGACTGGTGCTGCAGAAGGTTAAACTGCATGATCTCCTTTCGTTCTAGTCAGTTCAAGGGTATGTGGAGGGACGATAACAAGATTCACATAAATTTGGCAAGAATAATTATAGATGAGAAGATATCTTGATATTCAGAATATTATATAATATTTAATTACATTGGGGTGTTTTTCGGTTGGGTAAGGCTATTTGTTATATTTTAATAACATTTGAGGTATATTAAAATAAAAAAGATTTATATGTTAAAAAACTTTAAAGAAACATGATTTTGAATTATCATATAATACTCGTTTTGCTCTAATTAAGTTATTTCAATTTATGTATTCATGATTATTAAAAAAAATTAATTATTACAAAAATTTGGATTTATTTTTTTCACTATCACCTTTATACACAATTGAACAAAAAAACTTTAATACTTTTTTAATTTCATCCCATATAATGGTAAAAATGAAACAATAGCATAATATATATATATATATAGAGTAATTTACCAAATTATTGTTAAAAAGACACTTCCTCACCTGTATAATCAAGAATCAAACTCTTATTTCAACTAATTGGTACGTCTCATAAAAAAAAATTTTGAAAAAAAGAACCAACCAAATGGACCCAAGTTCGGTTCCCCAGTTTCAATGCCTGGTCGGTCTCGAGCTTACCCGCTCAGGTCCCCCAGTTTCAGGAATTGACAGACTTTGGCTACTAAAATTAATTTTAGTTCATTAGAATCTCAATTTGGTTTATCAAAACAAGATTTCTACATTTCTGAATCGTAATTTGAAAATTTTATTTCTGATTTCAAAAGCAAATTAAACTTACTGTAATTTAAACTATAGTTTGCGTTTGAGAGACTAGAGCCAGCAATAGCAATGGCTTATCCTCATAAGAGAGTTCCTGTTTGAAAAAAAATCAAAACTTTTCTGATCTGCCAAATATGAAAAAAGAGAAAAAAAAAATTTAATCTTCAAATTTAGTAACATATTATTTTTTAATTTGTGCAATTTTCAACAATTTTTTTTTAAACTTATGCAATTTTCAAGGGAGGGTAGGAATGGATTACAAGTGATTAGAGTGAAACTCAAACCCACAGGGGTTGGTGCCATCTACATGGAATCAGAGTGGATTTTGCCACTTGTTTCAGGCACTCAGGGTGCTTTCAAATTAGATTTTGCGTGTTTTAAAATTAATCTCTTTTAATTCAATTAAAGATAAATTTTTATGAATTCTTTAATTTTAATATAAAAAAATTCTTACTAAGTTACAACTCTTTAAGTTATTTTACTTAAACTTGTTAAATAATGCCCTATATCCTATTCCTAAGAATAATATATAGAAGAAATTGAAAGAACATACAATAAACGGAACAAATGCAACCAAAAGTAAAATCATTGCATTAGCCATGAAAATCCCAGACATGGAAAGGAGTTTGAAGGTTCAAACAGATAAACCTGAAGAAAAAATCATCAAATTTAGGAGTTTATGTTTACAAATTTGCATGTTTGCTCGCAAAAACACGCTTCCAATTCCAATTCCAACGGTCCAATATTCATTTTAAATTCTTCTTTATACATTTAAACATGAGAGGTCCACCTCCACCGCCCCGTATAACAACGGTCACTTTTGAGCACTTCGATTGCCATTCCATGAACAACTTTTCACCAACCGAATTTAAAGTTCCCTTTTCCTTTTTGGTTAAGAACTTTAAAGCCCCTTTGTCATTCCTTCCTTGCATTGTAACCCAAAGAACCAAACAATAAAATAAATATTATAAACCAAAGAAAAATTATAAATAAACAAACCATATTTTTGGTCAAGTAAACTTGCTACCTAATTCACCGAGAAAGTGCATCAAACCTGCCACCGCCCTACAGAATATGATCAGAAAGCGACGCAGTTTCCGGATGAAGTTGATAGAGACGTACAGCGTAGCAAAAAAAGGCTAATGACATGCTTGATGTCAAGTTATTAATATTGATTGATCTATTTAAGTTATTAGTATTAATTAATCTCTACATTTATATACTAGACTTATTTTCAATTTCCCATTGATGTGGCATTTAAGGCATTATAGAACCTGCAACCAAAACAAAATTAAGATTTTGTGTAATTAATAAGTAATATGAATAAAATTGGGTAAGCGGATCCTAACTCATAGTATATTTCTTTTTTTAAAATTTGTGTGTAAAAGATGAAAACGATTAACACACTAGTGAATTTCATTGCATTATCACATGCTTCATTGGCATCTCTTGTGAAGCTAGAGTTAGAAGTTTTAGTAATTTATACATGGTGCATAAAACATGAGATGAGAATGAACATATATAACTTATCAAAGGCAAGGAATAAATGTTATGAGAAAAAGATCCAAAACTTACGAACACACAAGAATGAGCATGATGGTAGCAACAATAATAGGTGAAGGTGGCTGAAGTAGTGGGAAAAATGGAAATTTAATTAATTGGGAAAGACGAACACACAATGGAAAATTGGAAATTCTCAATTAAGACACTCTATTAAGACACCATATTTCTTTATTAAGGCAGATTTTCAAAAAGCTTATGATTGTGTTAATTGGTCGTTTTTGGATGGGATGATAGATGGGTTTGGTTTTGGGGCCAAATGGAGGGGCTGGATTATGGAGTGTCTCTCAACTGCAAGGGGTTCAGTGTTGGTAAATGGAAGCCCGACAGAGGAGTTCGATATGGAGAAAGGGTTAAGGCAAGGGGATCCTTTGTCCCCCTTCCTATTTTTGATGGTTGTTGAAGGCTTAAGTGGGTTGGTCAAAAAAGCAAAGAATGAGGGATTACTACATGGTATTGAAGTTGGTAAAAGGGGGTTGGCGGTTTCTTTGTTACAGTTCGCCGATGATACGGTTTTTCTAGGTAGGGCTGATAGTGGAAATATTTTTATGGTTAAAACTATTTTAAGGTGGTTCGAGTTGATGTCGGGTTTGAGGATTAATTTCAACAAAAGCAGTCTGTATGGGTTTAATGTGTCTGAGAGATGGATTAGAGAGGCAGCTGGTGTTCTGCATTGTGCTGTAGGGGTGACACCGTTTAGGTACTTGGGAATGCTAATTGGGGGAAATCCAAGGAGAAAGAAGTTTTGGGATCCAGTTGTTACTAAATTTTGTACTAAACTTGCCGCCTGGAAGTCTGCTGTGCTGTCCTTCGGAGGTTGTCTCACGTTGCTTAATTCGGTACTTTCTGCACTTCCTACTTTCTTTATGTCTTTGTTTTTAATGCCGAATTCTGTGCTTGTCCAATTAATTAAGATTCAAAGGGATTTTTTATGGGGTGCAACTGAGGAAAAAAGGAAGATTGCGTGGGGTTAAATGGGATGCAATCTATTGTAGTAAGGCGAAAGGAGGACTAGGAGTTCCGGATTTGCGTAGGAGAAACTAGGCGATGTTGGGGAAATGGTGGTATAGGTTAGGAGATAGAAGGGAGGGGTTATGGAAGAGGGTAGTGAAAGATAAATATTATGATGGTGAAGGGGAGGTAGGTATAATAGATGTGGACACTCTGAGAGTGTCTAAAATTTGGGGTGACATTATTTGTATAGGTGGGCAATCAACGAAGTTAAAAAATATGTTGGTGAAGGGGTTTCGATGGGAGGTGGGGGATGGATGTCGGTGGGTTTTTGGAGAGATATATGGGTGGGGAACAAATCTTTACGTGATTTATTTCCAAGGCTTTTTCAGTTAGCGGTAAATAAGGATAGCAAGGTTAAGGAATATGGGACATGGGAAGGGGATAGTTGGCACTGGGAAATGAAGTGGCGGAGAGAGAGGTTGGGTCGTGAAAAGGATTAGGAGAAGAAGTTGAGGGAGGTTTTGGGTAGTGTACAGCTTAGGCCAAGTGAGGTAGATACTTGGCAGTGGACATATGACGTAGGAGGTAAATATATTGTGAAGACAGCACATGATTATTTAGAGTCTGTGGATTCCTTGCTTGAGGGCCAATTGTGTAAATTAGTGTGGTGCGGGATGGTACCATCAAAAGTGAGTTGTTTTGGGTGGAGGTTGTGTTTAGACAGGCTGCCAACAAGGTGGAATTTGCAAAAGAGAGGGATGATATTCCAAGGGGATGGCATGAAGTGTGGACTATGTAAGGAAGGAGTAGAGGATGTTAATCATCTATTCTGCATATGTAAGACAGCTTGGTTAGTATGGGTTAAGGTGATTCAGTGGTGGGGTTTGGAGGTTGTGATGCAGGATAAGGTGAGGGGTGTGGTAGATTTTTTCTTATGGTGTTTGGGTCGTTTGGTGGGTAAGGAGATGGGAGCATGCATTTTTCTTGTTGTTGCTTGGTATATATGGTATTGGAGGAATGTCTTGGTATTTCAGAAGCATGGGGATTTTAGGGAGCAATTGTTAGAATTAATTCAAGGTAAGTCGTTTTTTTGGATCCGGAATAAGGTGGAGGGGTGTGTTTTTTCTTTTGTTCAGTGGTAGAATAATCCAGTGGAATGTGCAAAGGAATTGACCCGGTACAAAAGGTCTTTGAAGATTTTTAAGCAGCAACAGGGGACGCGTCTTCAACCTGATTCTCCTGCGGCTGAGACGTAAATGCAAAGCCTGGGGTGCTGTTTGATCAACGTTTGCTGAGCGGGGACCTTTTGCTTTGAGCTGATGGTTGTTCTTAGTGTATTGGACTGTTGGGTTATGAATTTACTTGTGTAACAGGGCAGGAGCACCCCTTGTGCTCCATTACAAAATAAATAAAATTTTATTTGCTGATAAAAAAAAAACCATATTTCTTTAATTTTTGTACTTTCAGTTGCTATGTAAATTGGATTTTGATCTCTTATTGTAAGGGATTGATTTCAATTGGGAAACAATGGAGAGTAGGAGAGAAAAGAAATATAGGGGAATAGGAGAGAGAAGAAGGAAAATAGAGATCAAAGGGAGAGGAAAAAGGTCTCTCCAAAACAAAAAGTAAACGAAAGTGTTTTAGTTTTAATAAAAAGAATAACGTAATGAAATTTTTTTCACTAGAATGAGATTACCAATGAGTTGCTTAATATTTCATTCATTCCAAAATAATTGTAACTTTTTACTTTGAATTTATCTCTAATTAATTGTCATTTTTTCATTTTTTAAGGTAAACAACTATTTTTTTCAACTTTAACCACTCTAATTAATATCATCAAATCACAAAAAGTCTTTGTTTATTTTTTATTATTTTAAAATATTATAGATAAATACAAATATTGTCCGCAAATTTTTAATTTGAGATAAGAGAAAAAAAATTATGAACATAACAATTTTTTCGAGACAAAATGAGTAGTTATAAGGAAATAAATCTTTTACAAATTGGGTTAGTTATAACTTTAAATCTAATTTCTAATTTAGAATGTTTAAATTTAGTTTTCATTTGTGAATACTCTCAGTGTCATAGTTTTGGGTTTTAAGGTCTATTTACTATTCTAAAAATATATAAAATGTTAAATATATTAAATATAATTTTAAGATATTAAAAGATAAAAAAAACCTATCACTGTAGTTATAGTTTAGTCTGCCCAAACCACAGCTTAATTATCCTCCTTTTATTTTAAGCATATCATTTTATGCATTTATTCTTATATATTTTACCTCTATTTACAATACATATTAAACAAAAATGCTCATTTAAGTAGTGATTAATTATGGATAAATATAAATTTTAAGCAATTAATTATTACATCTTTATTTGATTGAACAAAAATATCCAAGTCTACTAAAGTTGAATAGATAAGATATAGCTAATGCAAATTTTGCATACAAAATCGGTCCAACACAGAAGATGTATTTACATGTGACTAAATGAAAAATGTGACTTGAATGAATGGTAAACAAAACATATCTATAAAATGAACTTGTAGTTTATTAACTTAAAAATTATGTGAATGCAATATAACTACTAGGCAAAAACTATTTTTTAAGATATTGGAGAAAATTAAATTTTTATTTATAGTAATTTTTCCATCTAAATAGTGATTCTTCTATTATTCTGTTTAAAATTAGTTTTTGCACAATAATCAGGACTCAAATAAGAAAATCTAGGGTTATGATTCGTTTGAAATGTGATGGTCATCCAAGAATGTTTTTACAATGTGTAACCTTATTTCACGATCAGCCTTTCAGTTCATTTGTATTTAAAATTTAAGAAGGAATAGTGCCTGACAAATGTTAAAATGAAAATAGAAGTTGAATAGCTTTTGGGTTTTAATGATATCATTCTTGAGAGTGGTTGCACTAATGTGGTTGCAGGTATAGACAGAAGTGGAGGTTCAATGAGAACTTGGGTTTGGTGTTGTAAGATGTTTAGCATTAGGACAATAATTGAAATATTTTTTTGTTCAACACACTTAATAACACTCATCGGTTCAGTTATTATAAAACTAATATTTTTATATTTGAATTCAAGGTAAGAAATGTTTCAAAGGCAGAAAAATTTTCAAAGGTAAATTTGTAACGATTGAATAGGATATTGTTAAATGTGTTGAACTGAAAGATGTACCAATCATTTTTCTTATAATTATGGTCTTTTTTCCATTATAATCATTCTAAGGGTATGTGCAGGGAGCTAACAGAGTTGGACCCAAATTGGTCAAAATGATTATAGATGAGGATATCCTGATAATATTGCAGCTTTAGTAGATAATGAGAAGATATCTTGGATTCTTGGCTTTAGAATATTATATAACACTTAATTATTTAATAATGTTTGAGCTTTGAGCTTGAGGTATATATAATTAAGATAAAAAATATACTGAAATTTAAAATAAAAAATTTAAAATAACAAAATTTAAGTGATAATATATTACTCCCTCATTTCTTATTTAGTTGTTTTACTTTATACATTACATCCTCTTTCACAAAAACAATATCTAATGTCAGGTGCCAATCCTCTCAAAGCCAACAAAGCTCTGGTTTTTAGTTTGCCTCGCACAACCAACCAAAGTGTAAAGCTATGTCGAGAAAAGTTCTTAGTAGACCCAACTCTATGCCAGTTGACTTCTGGTAACCCTCTTCTCAATACATGAAGCCTTGAAAAAACCTAATGTAAAACCATCTCCCCTTACGTATGGAGAATAAGGCATATTTTACATCCTCTCTGCTGTGTGAAAGGCCTACATAACAATGAAGCTTCTTCCGCATTTAGAATCCTGCCTCTTATTATTATCTCAGGATCAATAGAAGGTGTCTCTTCTTCATCTTTGCCAAATAAGCTATGAAAATAAGCAATAAATTCTTGGCCAATCTCATCTTTTTGTAAAAGTCTCAATCCACCCCCATTAACCACACTAGTGATATTCCCCCTATGCGCTGCCTTTCTTTCACCATGGCATGTAAGTATGCTGAATTGACATCTACCTCCTTTATCCAAGAAATTTTTGCCTTTTGCGCAGCTGAAGATAACCTGCAATAGCCACCCTCTTATAGTCCTGAACAACAGCCCCTTTATTTATTCAATTGAACCAAGAAAACCTAAAATAAGTATTTTTATTTCAGCCTTGATAAAGGTAAATTGAAATTTTAACATTTAATATCTTCCAAAAAATGGTGAGAAAACTAATTTAGACCATGTCTATTAACTATTAAGGCTTTGTCAGAGTTTTAGAATGGCCTTTTTAACATAGTTTTTTTGTTTAAAAATGTAAATCGATAATTTTTAATTAATTTTTATTAATTTTTTATATACTTTAACTAATTCTTATTAGTATTTTTTATATTTGTAAGATAATAAAAGACAAAATAACTCACAAAAATAGCACACACTGACCAATGAAACGTAAATTAGACAATTAAATCAAATCAAAGATAGAATAACATAACAATTTTGTTGTAGGTGCGTTCTTTATTTTAATATTTAAAAATGAAAAAGGCCAAACCAAACGGGCCCAAGTCAGCTACCGCTTTCATTGTCAGGTCGGTTCCAACTTCCAACAACTACACAGCGGCTTCTAAAATTCATTTCACTTTATTTGAATCTCAACGTGGTTGATCAGAACAATATTTCTACATATTTGAATCTGGTTTGAAACTTTTATTTCTGATTTCAAAAGAAAGTTAGCTTACTATAATCTGAGATATAATTTACGTCTAAGAATAAGTGCCTGATGCAATTAGTGAAAAGTGTTTTTGAAATCCAAAAATTCTAATTGTACTAAACATCCTTATTTTTGTAATTAAATATTATTTTATTTACCCTTTTTTTTTCTTTTTTTCAATTATAATTATTTAGTAATTAAATAAAAAAAAAATTTTCTTTCTCATTTTCTCAATCCAAACATAACCTAAAAGAGTAGCAATAGCAATGGATAGGATCCTAATAAGAGAGTTTCTACTCGAAAAAACCTAAGCTTCTTTGATTTGCCAAACATGAAAAAAGAGGAAGGAAATTTTTAACATTTGAGAAGGAAATGAATTGGAGAAATTACTAGAAAATTATTCATTTATAAACAAGAGAAGAAAATGTCTTTACAATTGGTTTGGTTTGAAGTGAGAGGACCAGGATAAATTTCTCTGTTTAGATAACAAAAGTTGAAGGGATTGGGAGAGGAGGAGTTTTTCTTTACTTTTCTTCATAATTTTAATTAGTATAACCATACACGGAATTGAGGGGAAGGAAACAAATGGAAATAGAAGGATATTATCTCTCCTTCCCTCTTTTTCCATTTTTCTTAAATCAAAGATGAGCTAATAAAGTTGTATTTTAATATATTTATTAAAAAATTATTATTATTTATTTAAAATTAATAACAAATAAATTTAAAGAATCATACATATAAAAATTTATTGAATTAATTATATTTATATTATATATTCATTAATTGGATATGTACTAATTTTTTTTAAAAAAATATATTCTATTTCTTTAAATTGAAAGAACTTAGAAATAGACGGAGCTAATGCAACCAGAATAACATAGCATGAAGCATGAAAATCCCAGGCATGGAAAGGAGTCTGATGGATCAAACAGAAAAAGCTAAAGAAAAAATCATCAAATTAAGGATTTTCTGTTTACAAATCTGCATGTTTACTCGCAGAAATTAACACTCCATTATTTAGTGTTTGTGCGATTTTCTTCTCATATTCCAATTCCAACGGTCCAATGTTCATTTTAAATTCTTCTTTATACATTTAAGCAGGAAAGGTCCACCGCCCCGTATGACAACGGTCACTTTTAGCACTTCGATAACCTTTCTTAGAACAACTTTTCACCACTTTAAAGCCCAGAGAAGAACCAAACAATAAAATAAATATAATAAAAATATTAAAACCCAAGAAAAATTATTAATAAATAAACCACATTTTCAGTCAAGTCAACTTGCTACCCAAATTCACCAAGAAAGTGCATCAAACTCGCCAGCACCACCGCCCTACAGAATCTGATCAGAAAGCGACGGTAGTCGCCGGAAAAAGTTGGCAGGGACCGACGGCATGTCGTCGCGGAATCGTGGGTGGCGGAGGTAGTAAAACCCTGCCACCAAGACAAAGACCTTGAAAGGCACAGCATAAAACAGTAAAGATGCGAAGAGGCAGAATACCACAAAAATTCCCGTCGCTCGTGGGTCCCTCCAGTTAAACAAGGCCTCCAAACGCTCCCCCTGTGCTGCCACGTCACCCAGAAGCGTCTGGGCCCGCCCCGCTAGGGCCCGCAACCGATCGTATCTTATACGCACCGTATCAGCTGGACGAGTAGAGGGGAGCCCATCGAATTCTTCATCCAGCTCATCCGGCCCCACGGCGTCCACGTAGGAGAGTCTTGGGTCCATATTGTGTGGGACTCTTAGGCGATAACGAAATCTCAGCGCCACGATCAAGAAGGCGTACATGAATAAGGTGGGGAGGATCAGATGCGGACATACCACCACAGCCAGGAGTAGCACGTGCAATAAAACAGTCGTGGGAGGGTGTGCCCACGTGCGAATCTCATCCAACCACCGTGCCAAAGTCGCCGCACGTGACAAGCAACCCACCACGCGGAACCAATTTGCCTTGCTCCTCCTCATGCTCCACACGTGTGTGTCACTGTCCAACATGAACTGAACCACCTCTTGACCCAAAGGAGGCTCGGACCTTGCTAGCCTCGCCGTGACAATGCGCATGGCGGTGTGGCGCAGGATGTCTTGTTGGGCTGGACCCAATGGGCAGACATAGTGCATCCTTGGAAGCATTGGGCTGCCATATGTCTGGATGAGAGTAAGCCATGACGAGCAAGAAAATCTAACGGTTATCTCAATTTCTCCCATTTTCTTGGCTCCACCAGGTAGCAATACGGTGAGACAATATGAATTTAGGTATACCCTGTTGGTATCAAGCTTCGATAGCCGTATACGGATCTTGCCAATACGCATGTCTTTCCCGGGCTTTCCTTCTTCATCCTTCTTGTATCTTCCATTATCAAATACACCAATGGTTAATACCGTACATGGATCGTATACGTCCCACGTATACTGCTCGTTCCACCGTGGATTAAACCGATCAAGGATGGTTCGGGTACGGACCCACTTGGGCCCATACTTGGCCACTACATAAGCATCAGTTGTCCCGCGAGCACCATCTTTGGTCTTGACAGGCAGCAAATTAGTAGCACTACGGATCCCGACCTCAAGCAACCCAATTGGAGCCTTGGCTAGTTGCTTAGCCGCAGCTCGGACATCACTGGTCACGTGAGCAGCTTCATCAAGCACGTGATAGCCACCCTCCAAGCACACCCTTACGTGTATGCTGCCAGCGTAAGGCTTGGTTTCACCACCTGTTAAATTGAACCATCTTGACTTTGGCTCCGCAAGATCGTCTGTTCTCCGTTCGATTGTCGGCACGTGTATCTTTGCATGGCCCACTGACTGCCCACTGGACACATCCTCCACGGTGACCACCAAAAATGGCTCAAACGGCTCAGCCGCAACGAAAACCAAATCCTCGTTCCAAGTTGGATTAGCCGAGATGGAAGATGATGAGCCGACTGTTGTGCGGCTTGTTTTAAAAAGCTGTGGCCCCAGCTGTGCCTTTACATAAAGCTCAGAACTTCGAACTTTAGGTTCGGTTCCCGAAGCTAGCTGCAAATCCTGGGTTTGGATAACCGTTAGCCGCAAATACCAAAGCTTCGGGGACAAGTACACCTTGGCACGGGTCTCGGGAACCAGTCCGCCGGAGTCCGACTGCCACGCCTCCTGAAACGCCTCGTCGGCCTGAGTCCCGATCCAAACAGCGAGCATCACGTCATTTTCCGGCGACTTCTCGGACTCGAGACTGTACCATTGTGGAGCCAGAGGACTGTCCGGTGGAACTCTCTTCGGCACTTCCTGCAAATCAAACGATACTGTTCCCAAGCAATTCTCCACGCATTCGTCGTTTTCCTTTTTCTCCTCACTCCAAACAGAAACTTCTAAAGAAGTGGAGTTCAAACCTTCTTTATCGAATGCAAAAACTTGATCCCACTCTTTATCGCTCTGGCTCTTTGTTTTGATGCTGTGAGTGCCAATCACAAGCTTGGCATGAATGGGGAAATTAGAATCTTTACTTGCTCGCTTTGCTTTTACAACACGGACATACAGAAACGGCATGCGATCCACCAGATCATATGTACTGCGGCCAAGGTCACCGGACAGAGATCGGAGTTCAAGCTCGTTGACACTGAGATCGGCTTGTTTTCCTGTCACTAGCTTCTCTCTCTGCTTTGATTTTTCATCATGCGCTAGCGATGGATTAACGACCTGGGCCGGTGCTGTAGCAGGAGGACCTTCTTGAGGCTTATCTTCCGGAGGTGGATTTGGTTGCTCCTCTGTTTTCGCTTCTTCTTTAGGCTTTTCCTCCTCCTTTTTCTCTTCAGCCTTTTCTTCCTTTTTCTCCTCCTCTGGCTTCGGAGTCTCCGGCCGCTTCTCCTCCGATGCATCCGCTGGCGGTGCCTGCTCTGTTTTCTGCTCGGCAGCGGAATCATCTACCGGCGGATCTTCATCTACATAACAAACTTTGACTCCGATCTCACCTTTAATCTGAGAAAACACACTCCGCTTCTCCAACGGATAATACACCAGAGTCTCAGATCCGGCTTTAGCAAAAGTGCTTCCAGCGAGCTTCACTTTACCGAGAAAAGTACTCTTTTTCCCGGCCTTCTTATCATTATACAAATTAATCTCCAAAATCTCCGTCGCCATCGACTCCGTATCCTGCACAAGAAACTCCAACCTCTCGTCCCACGCCGGATTCAGATCTCGGAACTTTGTCTTCGTCCTCCGTCTTTGACCGTCAAAATCAACAATCGCATATGCACTAGCCGTCCCTTGACCGTCCTTCGGCATCAAATTCTTGGCGTTGCAGACCTCGACTATAAGCTTTCTGGTAGCCATTTTCAGAAAATCAAGGAGGAAATGGATTTGATGGATATGATTTTACTGAGAAATAGTGTGAGCAGAGAAAGGGAAAGAAAGAGAAACGATTTGTGTGTGTTTATAGTGGAGGAAACAATGGGGGGGTTTTTTTAAAGGAAAAGAAGAGGAGCGGGGAGACGTTAATAGTGACACGTAGGAGAGCAGGGTGAGACGTGGCGAGATCTTGGGAAGCGAGATATTTTTGGACAAATAGCGACGACAGATGGACAAGAGTAGCGTGGGGACCGATCATGTATACACTGGAAAATGAAGCTACTGCGTAGAGGAAGAATCAAGTTTCGAAACAGGTTTTGTTTTGTTTGATTCATTAATGTGTTTTATCTAACTTATGCTATTATGGTATTAGTTAAAAATGTATTAAATATTTTTTTATTATAAATTTATATTAAAAAATAAAAATTAATTTTTAATTTTTTTAATTT